TCAAAAGTATAATAATATAAAGGAATGAGATTATTTCTCATGAGGCTTATGAAAATAATGTGCCAAATTTCTTCAGCCAGAAGTGAAACTCAATATTTTTCTTTAGTCATTTCTAATCTTTCAAGCTCGCTATTGATAACAGTTCTTGTAATGAAGGGTGAAATGATAAAAAGAAAATACATTGACAAAATAATTATTCTGTTGGAGTGTCTATTTGACAATAGTAAAGATGTCTCCTATATATAAAAGTGTACTTTACAAAAATTCTCAACAAAATATTAAGAAATCAAACCTAACAATATATAAAAAGAATTATACACCACAATCAAGTGGGATTTATCATACTTATGCAAGGCTGGTCAACATTTGAAAATCAGTTAAGTAATTCATCACATCAACAGGCTCAAAAAGACAAATCACATGATCATATTAATAGATGCAGAAAGAGCATTTGACAAAATCCAACTTCTATTTGTGATAAAAATTCCCAGTGAACTAGAAATAGAGGGGAACTTCCTCAACTTGATAAAACATATATACAAAAAAATCTATAGCTAACATCATATTTCATGGCGAGAAACTAGAAGCTTTCCTACTAACACCAGGAACAAGGCAAGAATATCCCCTCTCACTACTCCTTTCAACATCATACTTGAAGCCCTAGCTTATGCAATAAGGCAAGGAAATAAAATATATCAAATTGAGAGAAAAAAAAAAACTGTCAAGAATCTACAGACTCTCCTGGAACTAAGTTATTATCACAAAGTTACAGGACAAGGTTAAAAAGTCAATCACCTTCTTATATACCAGCAATGAACAAGTGGAACTTGAAATTGAAAACACAATACCATTTACATTAACACCAAAAAAAAAAATCTGGGTACAAATTTAACATAATATATACAAGACCTATACGAGGAAAACTACAAAACTGATGAACAAAACCAAAGAACTATATTAATGGAGAGATATTCCATGTTCATGGATATAAGACTCAATAGTATCAAGATGTCAGCTCTTCCCAATGTGATTTATAGTTCAATGTAATCTCAATCAAAATCTCAGAAGGTTATTTTGTGGATATTGACAAACTGATTCTAATGTTTATGTGGAGGGGCAAAAGGCCCAATATAGCCAACACAGTATGAAGAAAAAGAAAGTTAGAGGACTGACACTGTCAAACTTCAAGACTTACTACGAAGCTACAATAATCAAGACAGTATGATATTGGTGAAAGGATAAACAAATAGATCAAGGAAGCCAGTAATACACCCACATAAATATAATCAACTTCTTTTTGACAAAGGAAAAAAGTCAATAAAATGAAGCAAAGATAGTCTTTTAAACAAAT